ATTTCACTTCTTATTAAAGAATCATTAGAATGAATGAAGTCTGTATCACTCCTATCCTGAGAACTGGAGCTACATTATAGAAAAAAAAAAAAAAGTCCTACTTATATAACTGGTTCTAACCCCAAAAAAGAATATGTAAAGGGATGACTGTTATTCAAGGATTCTTTGATATATATTCTCCTTTCTATCATGTTCTGACTCTGTAGCCTTGGTCAAGAGACATCCAGTCTCTGAGCCCCAAGTGCTTCCTCTGCAAAATGAAATAGGGAATTGAATGAGATACCACCCTTAAGCACTTTTTTTGGTTTAGGCATTCTATGTCATTATAAACTTGTTTTGAAATAAGTTTAGCTGTCAATAAATGTTGAAAATCTATGCTGTTTGATACATTTGTTTTCTGGTTTCACCTGACTTCAGCCACATGACACTGAACTATAGCTAATGTCAGCTTCCCTCCTGTGTCTCCAGCTTACAGATGGTCTCTTTATTTGTAAATGACATCTGTTGCTTTTTAACAGGACATGTAGGCATGCTCATTGTAGAAAATGTGGATAATACTTTATCAATTATAATTCTTTGCATGCAACAGAATGAGGTATGGACAACATTTAAAAAGTGAATTTATTAGAAACGTACTGGATGGCTTAGAGAATAGAAGGGTTTGCTGAGCAGTCAGGTCTGGAGAATGGTAAGAATAGGATGGTTCCAGGGAACTCATCAAAAGTCTTATAAGGCATTACTTCTCAAACTGACTGTCTGACCATCTACCTGAGGGTTTTTCACCCAATCCATCACAGATTATTAGTTTAATAAAATACAGCAAATATTAATTACTGGGAAGTTGTGCAAGACTAACCTTGCAGATAATAAATGTAACTGAAAATGTTAAAAACAACTATCTGAAGATACTAGAGAGTAACCAAAAGCAGAAAGAACTTGGAGGTGAAGCTGGGGATCAACACTGGGAGGAAGAAATGGCACTGACTGATTTCTCATTTTTATGGGTTTTAGCATAAGGGCACTCCTAGTCAGTGCCACATGGAGCAACTAATAGTCAGAGTTCCTCAGTTTTACTGCCTTAAAAACCAGAGAACAAAGTTTAGAGCAACCACAATGCTGGAAATTGAGGGAAATCCCAGAAAGGAGAGATTTGGAGAGGGGGAGATCAAAATTATGTGTATAAATTTTTCCTAAATCTCTGGCTGATTCCTAAACTACACATCATGAGGTAGACTTTCCTAAACTACACATCATGGGGTAGACTCTAAGCAACAGCTAGGGCTAAACAAAATGCACAGAGATTTCAGCTGTTTCTCTTGCCATAACTGGGCAAACAAATTGTAAAGTTTGAGTCAAGGAGGGTTGACTGTCTCCTAAAACTTTTTTTTTTAATTAATATTCTTTGGAAGAATATAACTGAATCCAGAATCTCTGCAATGTATCATTAACAATGCCTGATATGGTCTAAATTATCATGACTTAATACTCAAGAGACAAGGATCCCAAGATGATCAAATGTTATGTAGATTTCTAATTTCTTTCAGAAATGTTTCACAGTTTTCATTGTGGAGGTAGTACATGCATTATGTTAAATTTGTTCCTAAGTATCTTAGTTTAAGAAACTATTAAGTTTGATTTTTTACATTTAAATTTCAGTCATTTGCTGATTATATATGAAAGTAAATTAATGCATCCTGCAATCTCACTAAATTTCCTGATTTCTATTAGTTGTATAGATTCTTTTAGATTTTCTACCATGTTCATGGATTAAAAGACTCAATAATGATTACATGTCAACTCTCCCCAAATTGATCTACAGAGTATTAAAAAATCCCAGTAAGAATACCACCAGGTTGTTTGGAGAAATTGAACACTGATTCTGACATTTTTATGGAAAAATCAAAGACCTAGACTATTAAAACTGCTCTTGAAAAAGAAGAACAAAGTTGGGGAATTTTTACTACCTGACTTCAAAAACACCAAGTCTTGATAAACAATGGAAGCAAGTGAGTGGAAGAAGCTAGCACTACCTAAAATCTCTTCTGGTGAGGGTGGCAGTATTCCAGGGGAGTAAGGATGAGGTTCTAACTATAGTGTCTTGTGCTTGGCTCCAGTGATATTGGCAACATGTGCTGCTAATCTATGTCCGGCAGTGTCACAGTGGTATGTATACTAGACCACTCTGATGGTGTGATTTTAGGTAACTAGCCTCTATGTGGTGTACATGATCCTCCTGGTGATTCTATATGCTACCTAATAATCTATGATAAATTTGTTTTCTGCTTAAATTAGCTACAGTTGTTTCTTTTACAACTGACTGACACAAATGCTAGGAAGAAAAATAAAGAAGGGTGAAAGGACAAAGGGTGACTGGGGCTGTATTTTGAATAAGGAGATATGAATGAATTTCTCTGAGGAGGTGGCATTTGAACAGAGACCATGTTATTCCATTTTAATTTGAAAAGAAAATTGTTCTATATGTGTATATATATGTCAAAATGATCATATAAAACTATGAATAGATAATTGTGGTAGGCTGATAATGATTTCCAAAGATATGTTCATATCCTAATCCCTAGAACCTGTAAATGTTACCTTATTTGAAAAAAGAGTCTGTGCAGATGTGATTAAATGGAAGATTTTGAGATGAGGAGATCATCCTGGCTTATCCAGGTGGGCCCTACATGCAATTACAATATCTTTACAGGAGAGTAGCAAAGGAAGATTACACATTCAGAAGAGAGGAGGCAAAGTGACTTCAGAGGCAGAGATCAGAATGATGTTGGCACAAAGAATACCGATAGCCACCACTAATGTTGAACTTCTGGCCTACAGGACCTAGTTTTAAGCTATAACGTTTGCAGTGATTTTTTACAGCAGCACAGAAAACTAACACAATAATATATTTGATTGCAATACTGATTCTGGAGGGATAATGGGAGCTAGAGATTAGAAGTGGAAAGGTCAGGAATATAAGTAGCCTTTATATAAATTAAAAGTAGCTGGACACAAAACAAGAATACATATTTTTTGAAGATGTACAAAAAGATTTGCATTAAACATGCAAGAATGGTTGCTAATGGGGGAAGGGAATGGCAATGGAGAGAGGGAAATAGATGACAACAGAAATGAAAAATACAGTTGAAAGATTGCAAGATAAATTTGTGAAAACTTCCTACAAGATGGAGATGGAGAAAAAGAGATAGAGAAGAAAAGTAGAAGGAAAAAAAAAGCAATAAGTCACCCAGCAAGGAAATACCGTGATCACAAAGGTGATTTTCCCAGGGTGAGGTGTATCCATTGCACTCGGATATGCTCACCCCTGTGTTCCCCAAATATGGGAAACTCAGCTGCATAATTTGCGGTAGTGGAGGACTGTGTTTGAGCTCTTTTGTGACATGAAAAAGAATAAAAAATATGTAAAAAAATTTAAAAAGACCAATAAGTAAAAGGAGCAGTTTGAGTGACCCAACATCTGTATAAAGAGAGCAAAAAAGGAAATGTAGTCATTGAAGAAATAATTCAAGAAAATCCCCCTCTACAATTTGATATTAGATTAGAGAGAGAACATAGAGTTAAATGAGATCGGAAAAGTTGACAGCAGTTAAATCCTAAAGATTCTGTAAGGCCACTTTCTAAAGGATCTCCCTACTACTTTCTGCCCAGGAATTCTTACATAAACTTCAAGACCCAAGGTAACATCACTTCCTCTGGAAGCCATCCAGGACCCATTTCGCCCAAGAAACCAGTTCTTCCAATATGATTCTATATAACCCATTGCATTATAGTAAATTAGTATTATTATTATTAGAGACTAGGTCTTGTTCATTGAATGGGCTAGAGTGCAGTGGCACGTTCATAGCTCACTGCAACCTCAAACTCCTGGCCTCAGTTGATTCTCTTGCCTCAGCTTCCTTAGTAACTGAGGCATCAGCACGCACCACCACACCTGGCTAATTTTTCTTATTTTTTTGTAGAGATGGGGTCTCGTTATGGTGCCCAGACTGGTCTCAAACTCCTTGTCTCAAGCAGTCTTCTTGCTTAAGCCTCCCAAAGTGCTGGGATTACAAGTGTGACCTGAGCCACCATGCCTGTCCTATAGTAAATGATTCATTAGTGTTGGTTTTATCTGGTAGAAGGAGGTGTGCTGCTTGAGGGCAGAGGCTGGATGGGGTTCATTCATCTTTAAATACACAATGCCTGGCACAAGGTGGTAACTCAGTCTTTTATTTTGCTTTGGCTTCAAAACAAGCATTTCCCAGTCCCTGAACTTTAACCCTTCCCCAATAGTAAATAAGGTGAAGATAAATGAAACATTTTCTGTCAGAAAATTGTTAAGTGTGGGAGTAATAAGGTAGCAGCCATGATGTTCATGTGCCAAATAGTGACAAGCTTTATCACCAATGCTCACAGCCCCCTACAAGACCAACAGTATAATCTCAGCTGCACAGTTGGAGAAACTGACCTTGTCATCCAGAGTCACACACACAACTAGTAAGTGCCCTCGCTTGAAACCCAGGCATCTCCCTCCAGAGGCCGTCCTCCTGGCGACTCCACCATGCTTCCTTAACTTTCACTACCATTCTTGCAATTATTTTTCTGACGCCAGGTGCTTCACATTGGTTAATTCATTTCCAGTTTACTAGTGCCTGGCTTCAGCGGTTACAAACACCGCCTCGTTTACCCACTGTGAGAAATACCTGTAATTTTCGAATTAACTTTTGTGTCTTTCAGTTGAGGTACTCCTTTCCTTTTGTGGTTTACCTTTCTTACTTCCAGTAGGAAAAATATTGTACTCATTTTAAAATAGAGGGGGCCCAACTACATGGAATACAGACTCGGGTTGGTTGGTTTGCTTGCTTTTTCCTCACACGGAATTCAAAAGCACCTCATGAATTCTAGCAGCAGAGACGGTGGATTGCGGTTTTAAGGGGGGAAAGCTCCGCCCCCGCCCCGCCCCGCCCCGCCCCCGCCCGCCTTCCCGGGTGTCTAGAGCCCTGGCAGGCTCCCGAGCTCCCGGGCGACCGCGGCCGGCGGGAACCGGGGATGCCAGGGCTCGGCTGAGCGGCTGCCGCCCGTGCGCTCGCTGGAGCTCGAGTCCAGCCACGCGGGTTTGGAACCGGGGCCGGCGGCGCCGGAGTCCACGCACCGGGCATGGACGCGCCGGGGGACGCTGAGGGCCCGCGCCCACCAGGTGATGACAGCGGCGTGGCCCGGTGGCTTCGGGCCTGTCTCTTTAGCAGCGATTGAATTGGCTTTAGTTTGGTTTGTTTCTGAGAGATTGGAAAGGCTGCGGCCTGAATATGAGGTTTCTTTTCTCTCCGTAAAGGGTAAAGTTCAAGGGCAGTGTGTGGTACGGTCTCCAATGACTTTCTTCCCTATAGGTCTTCTTTAACGTACTGTGTGTTTAAGAATGCATTCAAATAAGTATGCCATTGGGCAAACGTAAAACATCTTTCGAATACTCGCTGTTATTCCCCTCTTTAACTTTTCTCATTTCCCTTTCTTATCTACTCCAAAGTTTTTTCAAAGATTCTTGACTTCCTCATGTTGCACAGATTTTTTTTTTTCTGGACTCCTGTGGCAACCAGTGAAAAATAGAGCAAATCAAATTTATTTGGGAATAAATATTAAATGAATTGACGCATAAGAACAATAATTATTGTAAAAAAATCTATTGATTTACAGATTTGTGAGACTTGTTTTTCCAGAAGCATACCTTTTTAAGTGTTCATTCACCGGTTGAATGATTTAGCTTGTTTTCTCCTGCCTACACTTCATTTGAATTCAATACTGTCTTAGAATTCTTAATAAATAGCTAACATTACATGCTTAAAACGTTATTGAGTTCGTGAGGCATATGAAACTAGTGACTTGAGAAAATAAGGGACATGGTACTTCAGAGAGCAGTACCCTTTGAAGATCACCCTGCTGCCTCATCCTTCTTGAAGGGACTTATGAAAGAAGACAGAAATAGGCCTTAAGGTGGAGGGAAAACAGGTCAGATGGCTTGATAATTTCTGGATTGAATTCTAATAGGGAATAGTATGTAAATGAAAGTGATATGGTTTCAAAATTGCAGTAATATACAAGGATTGTGCTCCATTTGATCAAATGTGCTGTATTCAAAATAGCCGTAAGCTCAGCAAATGTTATCTTCAGAGTGTTTCTTCTGTGCACAGAAATGGCACTTGTATATTTCCATCAGTAGTCCAATCACATGCCTAATTGCAGTGTGTTTACCTTCAAGGTGATGGCCCTGCAGGAAGTACAAGGGAGACACCCAGGCGACTCTCAAGAGAACAGCTTTATGTACTGATATCAGCAGCTTCTGTGAACTTAGGTTCCATGATGTGCTATTCTATCCTTGGACCCTTTTTCCCCAGGGAGGTAAGACATTTTTATATCCTTATGAGCTCTAATTTTTAAAAAAGACTTTTGAATTATTTCATTGTACAGTATGTAAAATGTTAAAATCTGCACATAGTACAGATAATGTATAGAACTTCAGCCAACAGAATAGTTTTTGTAGAATACTTGGAAATACAGGAAAAAATATCCAATCAGAAGGAACATCCTCTTGGAGGTAATTCACCTAAATATAATCGATCTTCTGAGGATTACTTTTCATATCATATAGTTTGATTAATCTTTTTTTTTTTTTGAGACAAAGTCTCATTTTGTTGCCCAGGCTACAGTGCCGTGGTGTCAACCTAGCTCAAAGCAACCTCAAACTCCTGGACTCAAGCAATCCTTCTGTCTCAGCCTCCTGAGTAGCTGGAACTACAGGCGTGTGCCACCATGCCCAGCTAATTTTATATATACATATTTTTAGTTGTCCAGCTGTTTTCTTTCTATGTTTTTAGTAGAGATGGGGTCTTGCTCTTGCTCAGGCTGGTATGGAACTCCTGAGCTCAAAGGATCCACCTGCCTCAGCCTCCCAGAGTGCTAGGATTACAGGCGTGAGCCACCACGCCCGGCCATGAATAAGAGATTTAAATGTGAGAGTTTGAAATGTGATTGCAAAGGTCTACGTTAAGACAGTAACTCTCTCTGGGAGTTTTTGGTTTATTAATATTTTGGAATTAGGAAGTTGTGATTTACTGGATCCTTTCTGATTTGAATTTTTTTTTAACAAATGTAATGCAGGATTAATGTCTTTAATATATAAAGAGTTTCTGACTTGAATTTTGTATGGACTCTAGCGGCAATGTTTACACAAAGGAGGAATTCTGATTAATAGTGCCTAGTTCTCTCTAATCATACATAGCCTTTTATATAGTGTTAGGATCTACACTAATGGCACAGACTCAAAGAGAAAACCCCTAGTGAGACCAGCTGGATTCTGGTTGTCAATGGCATATAATATGACATGAATGGTACTGGCTTGGGTGAATGTAAATAGCATGTCCATGCGTTTTGTTTTGTCCTCTTTGCCAAATACTCAGCTCACAATGCACTAGCAGCTTCTCAGTCCTCTAACTGCTTTGATAAAGTGTAGTCCTTCATTCTGTGTGCTACAAAAGAGGATAAAGTGGCTTCTCTACTAAAGGAACAATACTGCTCTGTAGTCACAGAGTACTCCCTAGTTTTCAGTGCACATTTCTACCCATTTATCTGTTCGGTTCCTGCCACTATCCCATAAAGTAGATAGAATAGTGTGAATGTCATCATGTCACAAATGAAGAAACAGTTTCAGAAGTTATGACTTTCCCAGTTCAGTTCTATTAACTAGAGGTTCAGCGAGTTCCGACTCTGGAGTGTGCTAGGCATTTTATGTGTTAGGGAAGAAAAAAAAATTCGGGGAATTTTCTTTCCTTTTTTTTTCCTTTGGGGTTGAAAATTTTTTTAAAAAAAAAAAAAAGGTTTCAGGTTGTTTGGATATCCTTTAAGAAAAGGATGTCCAGAATGTTATGAGACTCCAGAAAGAGGAATGGGGCATGGGCAGAGTGGGGGCAGGAAAAGAAGGGGGCTACTGAAAGGTCCCTCACGGGATAAATCTAAGGGGGATCTTGAGATACTGGCATTCTAGGTAGTCACAGAAATAACAAAGCGAATGGCATGTTCTTGTGAAGTAGCAGAAAGTTTGAAGTGGCTTGAGCCTAGGGTGGAGTGAGGTCTAAGAGATAGAGGATCTGAGAAGGCAGGCTTGAGCTAGAACGCAAGGGTACTTGTATGCATGCCAAAGACTTAGTGATTGAGCAAGATAGAGTAGCCTGGCCAGATTTGGATTTTGTAATAAATAAATAAATAAATAAACAAACAAACAAATAAATAAATAAAATGGGAGTCTGTGGAATTAAGATTGAGAAGAACTAGAGTAAATGGATCAACCAGTTCGAAGGGCATTTCCCAGCTCAGCTGGAACTCAGTGGATGCAACTAATGTTAGCTTCCTCTGAGTGAATAGGGACAAAGGAAAACCAGGCTGTGGGTGGGAGTTTTAAGTTTTTGATCGAGCATTTTGCTTATAGGAGGTGTTGACTAAAGAAAACAAGTCAAGCTTTTAAAGAATTAAAATTAGTTGTATTTAGAAGTCTTAATTTAGGACTACAGACTGAGATGTACAGTCTGGGAGCAGTTCTGCCAGACTGCTCCAACACAGTGTTTCAGTTCAGAGCTTAAATACAGGTGGTGAAGATTCAGTACATGTAAAATCACATCAGAGTTTGGGTGTAAGAGTACACCTGGGTATAGATTACTAAAGCACATCTATCTGGTTATAAATTATAGAAGTGTAATCACTAACCCTGGTAGACATTATCTTACTGCAGGAAAAGGCAAGGATTGGGGTCATTTATCTTTTAGGGTGGTGATCCCAAACATTTTAGGCACCAGGGACCGGTTTCATGGAAGACAGTTTTTCCAGGGGGAGGTGAAATTCAGGAGGTGATGGGTGGCCGGGTTCCTATCAGGCCATGGACCAATACCGGGCCACGCCCTGGGGTTGGGACCCCCAGTTTTAGGGAAGGTAGTGACTCAGGCAAGAGATTTGGGGGACTGTGTGCTCTCTCCTGTTTTGTCTTCAAAGGATCCCTCTGGAGAGCTGCCCATCGGCACAGGGTCAGGGGCTTCGTGAAATTAGCTGGCAAACAGAAATGAACAAACATGGCTTCTTACGCTGGCTACTTTGTCTTGCGGAGTGAAGGCTGAGGGAGAGAAGACAAAGGCAGGGAGAGAACATTCTAACTTTAAAAGCTATAGATAAGAAAAGTGGGCTCTGGTTTTTCACTTCTCACTAAAATTTTATGGTTGACAAATGCAATGGTAAAGCGTCTCTGTTCTCCTGTATGTTCTGTCGTCCTTCCTATTAGCTAGAGCTCACTGGGGAAGGAGAAATAGATCCCTTCTTAAATTCTGGTGCAGGATTCCTACTTCTAATCTACATTTTTCTGGTCACTCTCCTCCTTTGTCAGAGGATTATACGTGAACCAGAAATTGCTTTTAATAGCCATTCTTGCTTTCCTAATGTGAAGCAGGACTCACGTTCCAAAGGTGGCGTTTAGTTGCTGCCGCGGTGTGTGAGTCTAGCATGTCCTGTGTAATCGTTCCATTTCCACAGTCAGTGCGGGAACATGTACGCGATGGAAACCGTAGTGGCTCCATGACTACATAACCTTTGCAAGTGCCCGTCCTCATCTCTGAATGGGGCCACCTAAAAATAGATTCCTTATTTGATAGGTGTTAGATACCACGTAAAACAGCACTTACTAGAGATTCTGGCTCATAGTGAGGGTCCAGTAAATATTAGGTGCTATAACCATCGTATATTTCCTGCTAGATTCTAGAATTAAATACTTATCAGATCCATTAAGCAAAGAACATGGATAATGTAATTTGACCAATGAACATTCTGCCTACATTTTAATTGACTCTTTTGATAATACTTTCCCTTTGAGGAACCTGACCCATGTGTAGTAGAAATGTCGACTTCACGTTCCTGTCTACATACAGCATAACCTTTTCCTACGATGCTGTTAAAGGCATCTTAATAATGAGACCTCTGTTATCTTCACACTATTATCGTATGTGGTTGTTAGTACATGAAGGAGCAAGGCCAATTATGAAGCCAATAGAATTATGAGCTTCAAATCCTGCCTCCGTAATTACTGCAGAATGGTAGGCCCATTCTCTGCCCTCACCCACCACCAAGTGCTTAGGGGCCACATCTCTAAGGACCTTCCTAGAGTAAGGAAGGACCCTTCCTAAATTTTAGCTTAGACCAATAGAGTTCACCTATCTGGTTTCCTGCAGTATGATACTATGAAAAATGTAGGGTTTAAAGAGGTATAGTCTAGGCCGGGCACTGTGGCTCAGGCCTGTAATCCTAGCACTCTGGGAGGCCGAGGCGGGAGGATTGCTCAAGGTCAGGAGTTCGAAGATAGCCTGAGCAAGAGCGAGACCCCGTCTCTACTATAAATAGAAAGAAATTAATTGGCCAACTAAGATATATATAGAAAAAGTCAGCCGGGCATGGTGGCGCATGCCTGTAGTCCCAGCTACTCGGGAGGCTGAGGCAGAAGGATTGCTTGAGCCCAGGAGTTTGAGGTTGCTGTGAGCTAGGCTGACACCATGGCACTCACCCTAGCCTGGGCAACAAAGCGAGACTCTAAAAAAAAAAAAAAAAAAAAAAGAGGTATAGTCTGACATGAAAAGAATGTCCTTGAAAAAGACAAGGATTGAATGATGATGGTATCTTTACATGGGAAGGGATGGAGAAAATTTTTATGTAAAAATTATAGTTAGAGAGAAAAGGTAAAGAAATGTGATTATGGCTGTCGTAGAGAATGGATTTTGAATGGTACAGGAGTGTGTGTGTCTGCATGTGCACACACACACATTTCAGTATTTTTTTTTATTTCTTTTCTCACATTTCAGTATTAAGAGTGAAGTTATTTGTGAAAAACCTGAAACTCTGGTGAGAGAATGGTACTAAATTGGACTCTTAATATCATAAATATTCACTACTGGTACTGTGCCTGTCACACAGAAGGTGTTCAATAAATGACTTCTGGCAGAGTTGTGTAGCTCAGGCTTTGCACCTCATAGTGTGCTAAGTTGTCAATCCTATCTTAAAGAAATTAAACTCATATTTTATCTCTTTTAATTGCTACAGTTAGAATCTGTTGTAAAGACCTGCCATATTTCCAGAGTTGGAAGTTTTTTAAACCTTCTCTTTTTTTTATATATGAATTTCGTGGTACATAACAACAATTCTTCTATCTTAAAGAAATTAAACTCATATTTTACCTCTTTAAATTGCTATAGTTAGAATCTGATGTAAGGACTTGCCATATTTCCAGAGTTTGAAGAAGTTTTTTAAACCTCTCCTTTTTTTTTTTATGTGAATTTAGTGGTACATCACAACAGTAGTGTTTGACATTCAAAAGAAGTAGATTTAAGATAAATACTTTATCAAATTTAAGATTTGATACTTTAGCAGATTTAGAAGCTCACTGATAGAATAGGCTATAAACAAACATTAATTGTTATAATTGATGAATGCTAAACTACCCAAGGTGTTTCTGGAGAATGTAGAGTGTTAAGGGAACATCTTTTGTCTGTGTTGTTGGTGTCAGGAAGGAAAACTACTCTCCAAACTGTCAGGTAATTGGTATTGATGCCAGAAATAGAGAACCAGACTGAATGCGCCTTGGGGTGACCCATATGCCAGCTCACGGGACTTCCTATTCTTAAGTTTTTTTGACTGGCAAACATTTTTTGTTTGTTTCCTATAAATAAAATGTGATACCAAAAAGGAAGTTGTGTCTAAGTCAGCTGTTTTCTCAGTCCTGTGACTGAGAAATGGAGCCCAAATTTCCACATCAAAGGTTTTCCGTGTTTGTTTATGCTATTTAATTCTGACTTTTCCCAGCTAAAGCTAACAATACTTTATAGTCAAGGTGAATGAATTTCATGTCAGGGACTAGGTTTTACTGTCTTAACTAGTTACCCTTCCTTCCCTATCCTGTTTATTATAAAATAATAATCTTTGAAATTGCTATACGGATAAAGGTCACAAAAAGATGATGCTCTGATCTAATATTCCATTTTTCCATACTGATGCTAATTTGTCTTTCAACCTTTGTTCTCATTTTTGTTTCTTTAAAGGCTGAAAAGAAGGGAGCCAGCAATACCATTATTGGTATGATTTTTGGATGTTATGCTTTGTTTGAGTTGCTAGCATCTTTTGTATTTGGAAACTATGTAAGTATTAAAGTTCAGGTACATGTTTTAATTTTTAAAAATTGTGTAATGAGTTATTCTGATTTACAAGTCTAGAATTTGCATTGATACAGAAATAACCACTGTTATAGTTTTATAAATTGTGCCACTGTTGACAGTTCCCTCCTTAGGGTTGATTGATTTTTAATTCCTTCCATGTTTGTAAGCAATATGTACTGGCACTCCATTAAAGAGTTATTATATTAACTGAACATGTCTTCCCCCAATCCTGTATTTTCCTGTAGTAGATTTGTTTGAGTCAATATAGACTTATAGAAGTGACCAATTTACTACTCTTCTTTGACATTTATTATAGATTGTACATATTGGAGCAAAATTTATGTTTATAGCAGGAATGTTTGTCTCAGGAGGAGTTACCATTCTCTTTGGGTAAGTCATTTTCTGATATGTTTGGGAGCTTGAACAGATTTCATAGTCTATCTTCAGTTTGAAATAGTAAGGGCTTTTTAAGTCAATGTTACCATTATTGTCTGTTGAATACCTATCATGAGACAAATGGCAGAAGGAGCTGTGTGAGTAGAAAACAGAAATGAATGGCATTGCTCTTGAGGAAACGGTCCTCCAGGGACCACCATTACACTGGTCACTGAATTTATTCTTAAGGACTCCTGTGACTGTGAGTGATAGAAACCTTTTGGCTTAAGCTAAAAAGTGAATTTCCTTCCTAAAAATCACCTCAAAAATTTCAGTATACGGGTGTTGAAACAGTGTCATTAGAAATTTTTCTTGACTTCACTGGCTTTACTTTTTTCTTCTTGTGATTTTTTTTTTCCAAACTGGAATGGAAAGTGATTTGTTCTTGGTTGAGCTTTCCCTTGTGGTGGGAAGATGGCCCCACCAGCTCCAATAGGTAGTGCCACTTTCTCAATAGTTCCTGTTAGGTAGGGCCTCGGGTTGGAGCCCCAGCGGCCAGATCTTTGTGGGTGGCCCATCCCTGTAGCCAGCGGGAAATAATGTTCTGATTGGCCAGGCTGGGTCATGTACTCACTTCAGGGTGGAGCAGCGTGGTTTTCCCTGTTGCTGTTTCCAGAAAAAGAAGAAATGAGTGCCAGAGGCAAAAGAGCTATCGAAGTTCTTAAACTTAGAGTCCTTAAACCAGCAGCATAGTGGCAAATAATATGGAAGAGCTTATACAAATACTTGGGCAACATAAAGGAATGATAGGACCGTGTTTCCCTGAAAATGAGACAGGGTCTTATATTTATTTTTCCTCAAGAAGACACCCTAGGGCTTATTTTCAGGGGATGTGTTATTTTCCCTTCAAAACCTCAGCTTGCAGCACATACAGGATGGCGGGACCTGACAGGGGAGCCAACCTTGTTGGTGGGGCTGCCTGCACCTTTCCGGTCACCTGTGGGATAGTAGCTGTCATGATGGGGCAGATGAGAAGGGCTGCTGGTCTTCCTTACCGCTCCACAGGAAATGCATGGGTTGTGCAGATAAGCTGCGTAGCCACGCCCATCACCAGGTCTTATTTTTGGGGTAGGGCTTATATTGTGCAAATGCTTAGAAATCCTGCTAGGGCTTATTTTATGGGTAGTCCTTATTTTGGGGGAAACACGGTAGTATGGTAAAGTTATGATGAAATAAACTCAGGAAAACCATTAAATGAAGTGGATGTTTTTTAAAAATTTTCTGCACAGGGAGTTTTCTGTTCTCTGCATTCATTCTTTTTTTTTTTTTTTTTTTGAGACAGAGTCTTACTTTGTTGTCCAGGCTAGAGTGAGTTTGACATGACCTTCCCATCCCAGATGTGTTTGTGTTATAAGTTTTTTTGTTTTTTTTTTTTTTTTTTTTTTTTTTTTTTTGAAAGTTTGAGTCTCACCATAGGAGAGACCTGAAACTAAGAAGTCCTTCTATATAGGTCTTGTCAGAGTGATTCTGCATATTCCAAAAAGGCCTATTTACTATTGTCATCTAGGAGACCAATTGTATCAGCAGAAAAGGGCAACCTAAGCTGTCATTATGACTTAAATTGTTACCAAAAATAAGAAGGTAATTTCCTTCTACTGAAAATATAACAAAATAACTCTTCAAAACATTTATATTCTGAATAGATTTATTCTAATAACTGTGGGTGATGTACTACTCTTTTCTTTGAGCACAATTAAAAAGGAAAAACAAATAAAAACCAGCTTAACATTTGAGAATTGTCTTATTCTCTTTTAGTATATTGGATCAAGTTCCTGAAGGACCAATATTTATTGCTATGTGTTTTCTAGTGAGAGTAATGGATGCAATAAGCTTTGCTGCAGCAATAACTGCGTCGTTTTCTATCCTTGCAAAGGCTTTTCCAAATAATGTGGCTACAGTATTGGTATGTGTTTTATACATTTTTTTCTATTTTCCTTTGCGTGTAAGCCAAAATATTTCTTTGATCTTCCAAGTTAAAGCTGGGATCCATTCCTCTATTCTTGGTTTTCTCTACTTACTCTGTTTTGGTTAGCTTTTACTCCAATTTCTACTTGTCAGCAAGGCTGTCCCTAAATGTACCATTAGTCTTACTTAGGTGCTCTTCCTGGTCTTAGAATTTCCTGACTGGACAGTTTGACAAATAAATGTGGTCCAAACCAACTATTCTTTCTACCACTTTTTCTATCTCCCTGTAGCCTAGATTGTGGCTGAGCTGCCTGAGCTGCATTCCTCTGCTTTAAGAAAAAGAGTTATCCCTGTGGCAAAACACCCAATTCATATGAGTCCTTCTTCCACTTTCCCCTGATTTGTACAAGGGATCTTAGAGTTCATCTTGAAGTTTTTAAGTGTTTCTGTGCTGTCTATCTGAGGAGTGCCCTCTCATTTTGACATAAAAGCGCAGAACCTGGTGGTATCATATTGACATACGTTCTTGTGTATTGATTGCCTAGATGCACGTAGACCTGGTATTAATGACACACTGGATTCCTGTCTCAGCTCTGTGCAGCTGCCTCCCTGACCCCAAGCAAGCTTTCCCATAGCACTTTCTCTGAGCTCGTCTTGTCAGACCAAACACTACCAAATGCCACCCTCATAGCATATAATTGTTCTCTAGACTTCAGAGTCTAATCATCTTAGTACCAAGGACTCCCTTATTTAATACTCCCTCATTTAATACTATAGTTTAAAATTTTTTACTGTTGATAAACTATTTGCTGTGTAAATAGTTTTTCCCACTTTTCAATTTCAAAATATTAAGGGGGGTACAAATGTTTTAGATTACATGGATCATTTTTGTAATGCATGAGTCCTTGGCTATAGGTGTGCAGTTTTCCCCACATTTTCATTAAGCACTTGGGTATACAGCTGGATAGGTTCAATTTAGGTTGACACCTTACCATGCAGGGTTGGGCACAGTGAGAGGCATACTATTTACCCAGAAATGTGTTTCTCAAAAAGGGTTCAGAAGAACTCTAGTCTATTGACATGGTCTGTGAAGCAAGGGTTTGTGGCTAAACAAGTTTGGAGTGTACTGTGTGCTGTCCTCCAACTTACAGATGTCCAGTTTACATTAGTGTTTTAAGACTTCAGGAAATCCTAGAGTAAAGATACTTTATTAACTGTTCCACAACTCAATTTGACCATGGAACCATTGTTTTCAAATAAGACTTGTTGACCTTTAAAACAGTTCGTGTTCTGTGGAACATTCTGGAAAGTGCTGTCCAAGAAAGTCCTGTGCTGTTGGCAATACTCCATTGGATTTCCTGATCAGGAAAGGACACCAGTGTTGCCATATGATGTTTCTAAATGAAATTGCAGCCACTAGCCAACACGCCTGACATGGTAGTTGATCTGGATGGCCTTGTTGTGGTTAAAGATAGAATTCATATGTTCTTTATGAAATGCTGAATGTTATTAATGGACTACTTTTGTGCATTCCATGAGGTCTGAGGATGTAAGGTTGCAAGCCACGGGTCTCTGTTTAAAGCCCCTAAAAACTAGATTGATTTGAAATGGTACAGTTGCTGTAGTAGTAAACTTTTTTTTTTCCCATAGCACTGTTTTGTTTACTTTAACTTTAATTAACAAAACAGTTTTATGTGTTAACAAGGGAATATAGAATATAGTAAGTATATTCTACATATTACTGTTGCTCAGTGTTCCTATACACACCTGTTGTCCAGGTGCCCAACCCTCTGTCCCCCTCTGGGAAAGCAACAGATATTATAGGTTTCTTCCAGAGAGATTCCATGTATATATGTATGTACACTCATATACACATGTACACACACACAACATGATTTCCCTCCCTCCTTGTTTTTATACAAATGGTAGCATACCACAAATACCATCAGCACCTTGCTGATTATACTGACAGTGAAATCATCTTGGAGATCTTTCTGTACCTACATATAAAGAGCTTTCTTACTCTTTTCTTTACTGTGTGTATACTATTTCATTGTGTGGACACAACCTAGTTTATTTACATTGTTGATGAACATTTAGATTGTTCACATATTTTGCTATTGCAAACTGTGCTACAATGCATGAGCTTATATATATATATACCATGTGACATCTTAATGGGTATACCTCTAAGCTAAATTCTTTTTTTATTTATAATTTTATATTTATTTAATAAAATTAATTTCTAATTTTTTAAAAAAATTGTTTATTTATTTATTTTTCAGATTTCTGTCAGAAAAGATGTAAGCTAAATTCTTAAAAGTGGAATTCTAGGTCAGCGAGTATGTGCATTTTTAATGTTGATAGATTTGCCAAAATGCCCTCCCATGTTCACTTGCCAGCAGTGTATGAGAGTGCCTCTGACCCTACATCCTTGGAAACATAGTGTGTTTGATAAGTGATAGGTGAAAATTGGTATCTTGTGGCTCAAATTGTTCCCTTCTTTTATTTATTTATTTATATTTATATTTTTATTTTTTTTGAGACAGAGTCTTGTTTTGTTGCACAGGCTAGAGTGAGTGCCGTGGCGTCAGCCTAGCTCACAGCAACCTCAAACTCCTGGGCTCAAGCAATCCTCCTGCCTCAGCCTCCCGAGTAGCTGGGACTACAGGCATGCGCCACCATGCTCAGCTAGTTTTTTTCTATATATATTAGTTGGCCAATTAATTTCTTTCTATTTATAGTAGAGATGGGGTCTTGCTCTTGCTCAGGCTGGCTTCAAACTCCTGACCTCGAGCAATCCGCCCGCCTTGGCCTGCCAGAGTGCTAGGATTACAGGCGTGAGCCACCGCGTCCAGCCTTGTTCACTTCTTTTAAAAAATAAGGGCAAGCTGCCTCTTCCAAGAGCTATTTGTATTTCATTTTATGTGTCAACAGTTTATTTATACCATTTGCCCATTTTCCTATTGCATTGCTATTTTTTGTCTCATTGATGAGTAGTAGCTCTTGATATATTTGGGGAATTAGTTCTTGTCAGTATTTTTTTTCTTCTATTTTTCATTTGTCTTTTGATGTATTTTTCTATCTATAGTTTTTTCATATTTTCATGTAAGCAGGTTTATCAATCTTTTTATGTCTTCTGAGTTTTATGGCATAACTAAAATATCTTCCCCACCATAAGAATTAAAAAAGTAAAACCTCCCATATTTTATTTTCCTATATCTTTATGATTTTAATATATATGTTTAAGTTTTTGGTCCATCTTGTGTTTGTGTGTGTGTGTGTAAATTGTGAAGTAGATAAAATTTTTTTCAGATAGTATCTTGTTAATTCTTCAAATGAAATATATTAACTCAGCTTTTTTCCCCCCACTTTTAGGGAAGTCTTGAGATTTTTTCTGGATTAGGACTAATACTGGGTCCTCCTGTAGGTGGCTTTTTGTATCAATCCTTTGGCTATGAGGTACCTTTTATTTTTCTGGGATGCATAGTTCTGCTGATGGTACCACTCAACATGTATATTTTACCCAGTTATGGTAAGCCCACACTTATTACTCATTTTAAGAATCTTGAATATATTTCTATGCCTTTGTAAGAGAACAGTTTACCAGATATTCACTTTTATTTTATATAATCAATAATAGCTTTTTAGAACATGCTTAAAGAACTGATTCTCTTTTCAGAAATACTGTAGGCAATTAGGTTATAGGAATTCTATATATCACAAATTGTTTTCCAACCTTTAGAACTAGCAAATATTTAATTTCTGATCATAAGCCATTACCACATGCACACCAGAGGTCTTCTTGGAGTGAATTAAATGTCAGAACAAGGAGTTATCATTGGCCACATGTGGCCCCAGTCTTCCTAGAAGGTTTTCTTCCCAGCAGCCCTTGCAGCTGTCCATGCAGTGATGCCCGGGTACAAGGACACAGGTCCACATTAGGCGGCAATGGGAATCACCTTGGCTTCAAAACGTCATGCTCCACAGGAGTCACCCTGCCCTGTAATAAATGCATGGGAATCGCTGCTAGAGTCTCTATGGAGAGACAGGCCAGGTGCAAGAATCAGCGCAATCAGGGAGGCACAAAAACATCTTGTCCTCATCAGGTGTTTATGGCTTATTTAGATTTCCTTTTGTCCAGATGAAATGTACCAATCAGAGTTATGCTTATAGTAGACAACATTGCCTAGTAACATGGTGGGCATTGTACGGGCAGCCAGAGCTGGAAAGTTAACTGAGAGTTGGTGAACAGCCTTAGAGAGGCAGTGCCATAGGGAGCCACACGGTGGCGCTTGTCCTCTTTCTGAGTGTGACAAGGCTGTTGGTTTTGTAGTTGAACATCCTGGTTGTGCTCAGGTTGGTTTGTTAGATACTTGGCTGTTAAGAAGCAGACACTAGGGCAGATTCTCATGAAGCAGGAAAAAAACCTTTGTTAACTCTGTACCACACGAGATAAGGAAAAAAGACTTTGCTAAGACATACTAATTAATTAATGGTAGAACTGGGTATTTAGAACTTCTGTGATTAGGTGCCGGACTGGCCCCAGCGTCTGTTACCCCTTAAGGCCTGGCCTGCACTCCTCATCCCATCTCTGCCTCCCTCCCCTTGGTGTCTTTTGCAGCCCTTTCTAATCGCCACCAGCCTGCTTACTTGGTACTTATTTCTCTTCTTTGCTGTTATTTCTCAATTAAAATTTCCCTGCTTCTTTATTGAACTTAACAAAATCCCAGTTAGCTATATTTTTATGAACATAAGAGTTTGACAAACTCACTGTTTATCTACTGAAGGCTTTTTTAATTTAGATTGAATTGGAAAAAAACTAGTATTTTTAAAAAACTCTCGAGGATTGATAATATTAAAGCTGTAAACATACATTTCAGTGTTCCCATTTAGAAGTACTTTTAAAAATTATTTTAGGAGAGTTTATAGATAGAAGCTAGAAAATTAAACAAATTTGATTTTTCTTACATTGGCAGAATTTTATATTCTCTAAGTTCTACCTCTCCCTTGTCTCCTTCTAGAACCACGGACAATGTGGCTTTAGCTGTGGGTGGCTGAGTCCCTCTTCCTTTTCCTTTACATCTGCTCACCATGTCCCCTGTTCTATACTACTTGAAAGAAATATTTCTAAAACAGAGCCATGGACATATCACTCCTCTTATTAAAATCCTTACATCCATTACATTTAAGAGATCTATTGTACATCATGGTGACTCTAGTTATTAATAATAACAATATATACTTGAAAATTTATAGAGTAGATTTTAAGTGTTCTTACCACAAAAAATAAATATATAAGGCAATGCACACATTAATTAGCTTGATTTAGTTATTCTACAATATATATCTATACCAAAACATCATGTTATATACTATAAGTATATATAATTTTTACTTGTCAACTTGAAAAAAAATCCTTAAATCCATGAAATATGAACTTTATCCTGGAAGCCATTAGAGGCTACTATTAAAGATTTAAGTAGAAGAGTCACACAGTCTAAAATATCTCCCTCGCATTCTAACCCCTACTCATCCGGAAAACTTAATTTGTATTACCTTTTCTGGGGAGTTTTTAAAATCTTGATCATTGGATTAGATGTTGAGTAAGTAGTGTTACAGGGCTCAGCTTTCTTCCTGCTCCCCCACCACTGAGGACCACCCCACGTCCCATCTCTAACAGGAGCTCTCTGTGGCAGGCATTGTCAGCCAGGAAATCATATCCCTCTAAGAAGAATACAGATGTCCCTCAGTATCCATGGAGGATTGGTTCCAGGACCTTCCGTGGACACCAAAATTCACAGATGCTCAAGTCACTGATATAAAATGGTGTAGGATTTGCAAATAACCTGTGCACATCTTCCCATATACTTTAGATCATCTCTATGTCACTTATAATACCTAATATAATGTAAATGCTATGTAAATAGTTGTTATACTATTAAAATATTGTTTAGGGAATAATGACAAAGGAAAAAAAACCTGTCTGTGTTCAATACAGATACAATTTTTTAAAAAATATTTTTGATCCATGGTTGGTTGAATCCATGGATGCCAAACCCATGGATATGGAGGGCCAACTGTATTTGAGAATTTGGAGGAGGCAAAGAGTACCAAGTAGCTTTGAAAAGCTCCCCAGGTAATTCTGCTATGTGTCCCTTGAAGCAGGTACCACCCCATGTTTTCATTACTTGGTCTTCTTCCACTGCTTAATTATATTAGTTGTGTGTTCATTTTCATGGATTTTTAAAATATATTCTTATTATGGTAACCCCTTTTCCCACCCTGGATTTTAGAGAAGGGGACAATTTATACTATAATAGTGTGTCTTATACTGAAAATACATAATAATTTTTATATGCATAATAATGTAACCAATGAAAATTGGAATCTTTTGTAATTTCTCTTTTAAAGGTGACTAACATCCTTAGTATACAATTCAAAATTCACACAAATCTCCCTGCTGGCAATACCTCACTGAGCCACACGGTGGTGCTTGTCCTCTTTGTAAGTCAAACTGTATTGTTTCTGTGGTTGCACAATGGGAGCTGTGCTCAGATTTGGTTCGCTGTGGGATACTTGGCTGATAATTAAGAAATTTTATTTAGATTTAACTTTACCTCTTGTATCCCAAAAAAGTCTAAGTGTAGCACATAAAATAGTTGAACCACACTTCATGGTGTTTTTTGTACTTGGCTCCATACTTGGCCATTATCCAACAAGTATTAATATTTGTGGAATAAGGAACTGTGCTGGGTGCTCTTGGAGACATGAGGATATATGAAGGCTGATCCTGGCTGTCAAAGAGCTTCCGTGTCCAAACCCAATATCATCTCTGGCCAGGGTCACTATAGCAGTCTCCTGACTCGTAACCTGCCTCCATTCTCAGGCATCCTCAAACTACGGCCTGTGGGCCACATGCGCCTAGCACATTTATCCGGCCCTCCGTGTGTTTTTGCTGCCGCTGCCTGTCTAGCTTAGCAGCCGACTCTCCAACGGTCTGAGGGACCCTGAACTGGCCTCCTGTTTAAAAAGTTTGAGAACCCCTGCTCCACAGGGTCAGAGAGAGAACTTCCTAAACCATACATCTGATTCCTATTCCCTGCTTGAATTCCCTCATGATTTCTCCAGCTTCTTAGCATACAAGGTCCTCCTTCTTCATACATCCTTCTGCAGTATGATCTCTTCTTGCTATGTTGCTGTCCCTTACCCCAATCTCAGTCTTCCAACTTTGCTTCTCTTCTTTCATTTTCTCAAACACAGAATAGTTTCCCTTCACTTCTTCGAATAATATACCTGCATTATTCTTTCTCCTTTCTTTGCTTGCTCAGTGCAAACCCATTCTTTAGGCACCAGCTTTATATATTGCTGCTTTAGAAAGTCTTTCCTACAACACCCTCCCTGTGTTCAGGTAGCTCTTTCCTCTGCTCCCATAGGTGCCCTCCTAGCCCCATCCCAGCTCTTTCCCCTCCTTATTGGAACTTCACTGCAAGGACAGGAGCTGGGTCTGTCTTGTATGTTTTTGTATGACAAGCATTTTGCATGACTCCTGGCTCAGCAAAGATTTTGCTCAGTATATTAATTGGAAGATAGGAAAGCCACCAAACAATAGTAAACAATACAAAGCAAAATATAATTTTGGTGTTAAGTCGTGTAGTGTAGACTAGCAGTGCAGTAGGAAACCAGGTAAAGGTAAAATTTATGGAAGAATCAGGGCCAGTGCTAGACTTATAGAATGAATAGAATTGGAAAAATGAGCAGGGAAAAAAGAAAGGAGTCATTCTTATGACTGGAGGCTTGAAAATAACCATACCTGCTGTTTGGAGCAGTGAAGAAGTGGGAAGTAAGGTTGGTACTCCACTGACCTTGAACACTAAATGTAATTTATGTAGGATTCAATAGCCCCTCTTTTAATCCAGTGTTTGCTTTGATAGCAGAAAAAAAATTGTCTTTTTTTTTAAGTAATTTAGATTCCTCCTAAGTACACATGGACTTTGTTTCTTGGTAAAGTTCTGTCGATGCCTTTCCCGTGTACCAAAGCAAACTTGCCATAGTCTCTATCCCATCTGACAAAGGCCTTACTTCTAGGTTATAACCTGCAACCCAAGACCCTTTCTACCCCTCACACTCTGATTCCAGTTGATTCTTCATACATCTGGGAAATTATTTTTGATAAAATTGGATGTGGCCTCTAGGTTTGAATAAGTTATATGCAGATGTAGATGATAATTTTAGGCAAACTTAGAGGTACAGTTATTTTTTGATTACCAGATAAATAAATTGCTATTATTTATTTTTTTTCTGTTTTCACCTTTACTCCAAAGAGTCTGATCCAGGTCAACACTCATTTTGGAAACTGATCTCCTTACCCAAGGTTGGCTTTTTGGTTTTCATCATCAACTCACTCAGCTCGTGTTTTGGCTTCCTTGATCCTACTCTGTCTCTCTTTGTTTTGGAAAAGGTAAGTAGCCTGATTATTGAAGACCTTTGCATTGTAGCAGGTGGATGTAATTGCTTGGTCTTAGGCTCTGCTTTGTGGAAAGATCTTTGAGTGGCAGGGAATGGAGGCAGAATGGGAACTGCACACTGAGGTAGCCTGTGCCTTCCCTCTGTGACGTCCCCAGGAACTAGGGATCTGATTTAGTATAAAAGAAAGAAGTCTTTCTCTAAGTGGCCAAAACATTGGTCTCCTTCTTTCCAAGACCTTGCTTGTGTCATTGTAGGTTTGGCTCGGGCATACTTTGTGCTACTTAATAAGGACACTTTTCCTCTGTTTGAGTTTCGGTAGGCATTGGTGTCCTCAGTAGCTCGTTTAATGTGAGGTGTTCTTCATCTCTAACAAATCCACTCTGGGTCCACTCACTTACCTTTTAGTCTATTTCATATAATCAGATGAACTATGGATTATATTAATCTGGGATGGGAGAAGGGAACCAAGAATCCCTAGTGCTGAAAAATAAATGTTGAATTCTGGAAGTTTGATGTCATAGAAATTTGTTCTTAAGTATTTTTGAAAAAACATTGTTAATAATGCAATAAAGTTCAAGTCTGGTAGTTAATTATACTGGAGAATTAATGTGTGTCCGGAAGAGGAGAAAATGAATAACTTCAGCCTGCCCCCATTTTATTTGAGGCACTAGATTTAAAATAGCCCAATTGCCAGAAACTTACATTTCATTTAAGTATCTAATATAGTCATTTCAAATGCTTTGACCTATCATAGACCATAAGGATTAAAATTAATTTTTCTTATAATTTCACACTACCCCTCAAAGTCACTAAAAACAGTTTTGGGTATTTCACAGGTAAGATTTAGAAAATAATATAATATTGTGTTTAGCCAATGAGCATCTATTAGGGAACTCATAAGAAAATACCTTGTGATTATGGTGACACAGTTCATTTATATCATCAACAACATGTCTCTCTGAACCGTTTTTTCTGTGCTCTTAACAAGTTGCGTCTAAACAGTGAAAACAAATCTGTAATCGCTGAGAAACCCAAGTTGTTAGTGTATATCTTATAAGAAATCTTTTTTTTTTTTCCTCAAGAAAAAGTAGTTTATTCGTAAGAGAAGAGGAAGATAGATTTCTCTAAAGATAACTGTAGCTGACCATTTGTCGCACGATAGGTAGGTAGGTAGGTAGGTAGCATCAGTCCTGCTCATGTCTGGATGATGGACTGCGTCAGACATTGTACAACCCCACGGCTGTTGGTGGTGACACAGGACTACTGGCAGTTTTCAGGTTGGAGTGCTGCTGTGCCATCCCATTAGCCAACTCCAGCCTAAGACATGTTTAGAAATTTATTTTCCTGGTTTTTAATCATTTTTTTTATCCTGTTGCCTCTCTTTGGACTTCTTTTTATTTAATTGGTAGTTTGCTGTACAGTCATTGGTTGTCCAGTCTTTTAGGGTAGGAAGGTTCTACCTTTTATCCCTCCAGTTATAAAATGAGAAGAAGACATTTCTGACTTTTGTATCTTGCGCCTGTCTTTAAAGGACTAATTTCTTAGCAAGATTCATATTTGTCATAAAAACTGTTAAAACACATATTGACTCATAAATAAACCCCGTGGGCTTAAATAAGAAAATGAGTTAAGAAAATTAAGGAAATTGGAAACAACTTAGATAACCAAAAAAGACAGGCACTTATATCATGTTGTTAATATTAACAGTATCAGAGTTATGTGATAGTTTACTTTTAAGCTGTCTAGGCTTTTAAAACATGTCATGTCATCCAATTTTTAAATTAGATATGAATATCCCTTTGAGATGGTTAAAGGAGCTATTATCAGTAATGTTTTTTACACCAGTATACCTCAAACTGCAGCTTGTTGTCTGTCAGAATCACATGGGAGCTTGTTTGAAATGCAATTTCTCAGGTCCCATCCCAGACTTTCTAGATCAGAAATCTTAGGGTTGGGATCCAGGAACCTCTTTTAACAAGCTCTCCAGGTAATTTTTATGCACTGAAGTTTGCAAAACACCAGTTTACCTATAAAAATGCTATGATTCAGAGAAGCAGAATTCTGTTTGGTGTCAAAGGCTAAAAGCAAAATCTAGATCTTCTGACCTCAGGTTAGGTTTTTCCCCCCTCTCATGGAGAGAAAGTAACCCATTTACAAAAGTAACACAAACATTAGGAAGAATGCTGAGTGTTATTAGTAGACTCATGGTAATAACAAGAGCTGAAGAAATGGTAGGAGGAAAAGGTGGATGTTTATTTAAAATGACTTAATCATGTAATTTTAATGTAGGATTTCTTTTGCAGTTTAATTTACCAGCTGGATATGTGGGACTGGTATTCCTCGGTTTGGCACTGTCCTATGCCATTTCTTCACCACTATTTGGCCTACTAAGTGATAAAAAGCCAGTACGTACACTTAACTTATATTTTAGTTGCTTTTGTATGTTTAGACCAGTGGTTTTCCAACTGTTCCTCTGCATCTCTAGGAGTCCATTGGTTAGAATCGACATATTCAACTGGACTGATGGAGAAATTCCAGTGTCTTCCAAGATCAGCCATCACCCTGAGCAGATGCACTTTTCATTACTCCATCTGGGAAAAGAGGAGTCTTATGCTAAACCATTGAAAACTATATTCCAAATAGAACAATTTAGAAACAGTGACCACAAGGAACCCACTAAGTAGTTACAATGCCTAGAAAAATTACATTATTAAAAATGGCCCCTCTATAGATTGAATGTTTATATCTTCCCAAAATTCATATGTTAAATCCTAACATCCAATATGACGGTATTTGGAGTGGCTTTGGGAAGTGATTAGGTCATGAAGGAGGCCCTTATAAAAGAGGCCCCAAGTTAAGTGTGGTGACTTTCACCTATAATTCCAGCTACTCCCTTGATACAAAAAAAATGGATTAATCTTAATAATTAGGGCAGAGTCCCAGAGGTTACTATGGGACTTGATAAATTGAGAGATTCTACTTTAGGAGGAGATAGTTTGAGTTTTCTGTGGGAGTGAAAGGATTGGCAGTGTAAATATGCATTGTTCATGCCATAGCCATCCTGACAGAAATTCCCTTCTGTTCTCTTTTAACTAGGTCTCAACCATTCAGTCCAGACGACTAATATGCGGAACTGGTATTATTAGCTAAATCTTAAACTTCTACGGCTTTGGTGCTCATTTTTGGCATTTCCCCTTTTCATTAGATTTGCATATATATTTATCAAGACCTAAATTACATGGGAATTACTAAGTAACCCAGGTGACAAAAAGCAAGTATCTTAAACAGTGTTTGGAATTTGATTTTAAGACGTAGTCTTGACCTCGTGCAGTGGCTCACGCCTGTAATGCTAGCACTCTGGAAAGCTGAGGCGGGCAGATTGCGCAAGGTCAGGGGTTCTAAACCAGCCTGAGCAAGAGTGAGACCCTGTCTCTACTAAAAATAGAAAGAACTTAATTGACCAACTGAAAATATATAGAAAAAATTAGCCGGGCATGGTGGCACATGCCTGTAGTCCCAGCTACTCGGGAGGCTGGGGCAGAAGGATCACTTGAGCTCAGAAGTTTGAGGTTGCTATGAGCTAGGCTGATGCCACAGCACTGTAGCCTGGGTGACAGAGCAAAACTCTTGTCTCAAAAAAAAAAAAAAAAAAAAAAAAGTAGTCTTATATAACTGAGCAGATATTGTACCCCTGTAATTTGGGGGCTGATTCAAGTAGTTTATAAGGGATAAATTGGGTACAGTCTTAGTGTGTTCGGGATGCTATAACAAAATGTCATAAACTGGGGGGCTTATAAAGAATAGAAAATTATTCCTCAGTTTTGGAGCCTGAGAAGTCTCAGATTAAGACTCTGGCAGATTTGGTGTCCGGTGATGGCCCATTGTTTAGTTTATAAATGGATGTCTTTTCACTGTAACCTCACTTGGCCGAAAGGGCAAGGGAGCTCTCTGGGGCTTTATTTATTCATTCCTTTGTTCATTCATTCATTCATTCATTCATTCATTCTTTTGAGACTGGGACTCGCTGTATTGCCCAGACTGGTCTTGAACTCTTGGGCTCAAGTGATCCTCCTGCCTCAGCCTCCTGAGTAGCTGGGATTATAGGTAAAAGCCATGGTGCCCAACTTGATACCTTTTTTATAAGAGCACTAATCCCATTTATGAGGGCTCCACCTTGATGACCTAATCACTTCCCAAAGTCACCTCCAAATACCATCATATTGGATGCTAGGATTTAATATATGAATTTTGTAGGGACATAGGCATTCAATCTATAGAGGGACCATTTTCTAATAGTGTCATTTTTCTAGGGATTGTAACTACTTGGTGGGTTCCTTATGGTCATTGTTTCTAAATTGTTACATTTGGAATAATTCATCCAGTGAAAAATCTGCAGTACACTCCGTTTCTAATGAATCCTTGTCCTTTACTCACTCCCTATGTTGTGGAATATTGTCCTGGCTTTGGAGTTTATCATCTACTTATTATCTCATTAATATAAAATTTTGTTTTCTTCATTGTATTTTTTTAATATCATAACTTGTGTTCTTTAATAATTTTTCATATTGTTTAATCGTGGAGGTCTTTACCTCTGAGAATTTCTTTGGACTCTCTTTCTCTTTACCAGCATGTAAGGAAATGGCTCCTGGTTTTTGGAAACTTAATCACAGCAGGGTGCTACATGCTCCTAGGACCTATCCCAATTTTGCACATTCAAAGGTAATTTTTTTCTTCTTCTGTATTTTTGGTTGAATAGCATTAGGAATTATTTCAAAAATTTTGTGGAAGTGCTGGTTTGGCTTAGTATTTTGAGCCTTCGTATTAAATATTTAAATAATTATTTTGATTTAGGACTCTATTGAATTGCTTGTTAGACTGATGGTATTTTTCCTTCCTAGAAGCTAGTAGTGATACAAACAGACAGGAATGCATAAAATCTATATAAATGACAAAAGTGCTTATTCTCCCTCTGTTTCAATTGTATACTTGATTGCACTTTATTTTGAAAATAGCATTTGTTGCTACCCACCTTTAGTTGATAGTTCTCAGGATATATTTTTGTTTTTTCTACATTTCCTTCTTCCTTGAGGCAGGGACTAAATCTTTTTTTGTTTCTGTGTCATTTTTAGCATGCAACATTAAAGCTGTTCATTAAAGCTCGTTTAGTGTAATTTATTTACTAAAATAAGTGAGCTCCTTAGATCTTTTCTGGTACTTCTGGGTTAAAACACAATATCATAGAAAGAGAGGGATTTCAGAGTTCTTCAGACTTGGGTTTGCATTTTAGCTTTGCCACTTACTAGTAGTGTGAACTTAGGCAAATCTCTTACTTTCCAAGAGCTTTAGTTTTCTCGTCTACAAAATGGAGCCGATAATAGTACTTTCGTTCCAAGAATTAAATGGGATAATGTACATTAAGTAACCAGCATAGTGCCCCAACATGGAGCAAATGTTAGTCTCCTGTTCTTCCTTTACCACTTCCCTTCTATGCTATTTTTTAGTTGATTAAATTTCAAAGCCAAGTGATCAAATGAATGGTATTATTATTGACATTTTAACCAATTTTGAAAAGATTTTGTATGGTGAGAAGGCAGGTTGTCTTCAGACATATGATTTATGTGACCAAAGAGATTGAGATATTAGGGTGATTTTTTTTTGCCCCCAAAATGTAAGAGGCTAATGGGAGCTCTAACTGAATGAGATGGGGTCAAATGGGAATGAGAATGAGACTAGGCGCAGAATCTGTTTAACTAACTTCTCTGGATCCTGCCCTCTTTAACATTAAGCTTCGTGTCTCTTAAAATACTAATGTTTTTGTTTTTGTTTTCTCCAAAACCCCTTTATAGTCAGCTCTTGCTGCTCGTGCTGATATTAGTTGTACATGGCATCTCTGCTGGAATGAGTATAATTCCAACTTTCCCGGAAATTCTCAGTTGTGCATAGTAAGTTACTGCTGTTGTGTGAAGAGCTGTATTATAAATAGCAGTGAGCATCATAGGCTTTCTAGAATTTGTCAACATTTTTGAATGTCGGATATTTTTTCCACAATATTAAATCTTCATGATTTCATAGTTTATAATATTGTGATATAAATAGTCTAAATAATAACACAATAATATATTGGCCGGGCATGGTGGCTTATTCCTGTAATCCTAGCACTCTGGGAGGCCAAGGTGGATGTATTGCTCGAGGTCAGGAGTTCAAAACCAACCTGAGCAAGAGCGAGACCCCGTCTCTACTAAAAATAGAAAGAAATTAATTGACCAACTAAAAATATATATACAAAAAATTAGCTGGGCATGGTGGCACATGCCTGTAGTCCCAGCTACTCGGGAGGCTGAGGCAGTAGGATTGCTTGAGCCCAGGAGATTGAGGTTGCTGTGAGCTAGGCTGATGCCACGGCACTCACTCTAGCCTGGGCAACAAAGTGAGACTCTGTCTCAAAAAATAAAAATCAATAAATAATATCACAATAATATAAATGGTAATATATAGTAATATTAACATAGTAATAGCTAAAATGAGTTGTGGATAGATGGTTGGCTTGGTTTATGTCTCACTATATATATAATTTTGAAAATCTAAAGCAAAATGGAAAGGGCTCAACATTGTTCCTCTTTCATGGAGGAAGTCCATACAAGAGCACAGAGCTACCAGGCATCTGTCACTTGGCCATCATTCTTTTGTTTAGTAGAAGATAATGAAGAACACTATGATACTCTGGCTGTGCCAGGTCAGTTCAACAATTCTTTTAGGAGTAAGAAGCTGCCTCTGTGTTTGCTAAAAGTTGCCATTATTCTCTTTATATCTTCATCTCATTTTAAGAATTTGTTATTTAATTATATATTTTTATAAGCATTTAATGCTAATGGTTCATGATTCTTGATATCATATCTTATATATGTAATAAAATTATTTTTAGAAAACCATGTAGTAAACCGAACTATGATAATTCCTTCAAATTAGATTCATTATTTATCTTAGAAGTACAGTGTTCTCGATATTGGTTTTGTCCAGATTATCCCTGGTTTATCTTAATTTATCTATAGTAAATTTTTTCTTTCATACAGGTTTTCCTTTTAATAATGGATACTCATGTCTCTCTTTGCAGTGAAAATGGATTTGAAGAGGGATTAAGTACGTTGGGACTTGTATCAGGTCTCTTTAGTGCAATGTGGTCGGTTGGGTGAGTAGTCATTCAACTTTATTCACACCTGAAAGATGGAAAATACTATTCCCATTTTACAGGTGAAGAAATTGAGATGCTGAGAGGTCAGATGAGTTTCTCAAAGATAAATAGTTCATCTAGAGCAGAGCCAGAGTTCGAATCCATACCTTCTGACTCCACAGTCAGTGGTTATACCAGCAGTTTTAATACCTAATCAAATGGTTTCATATTACCTTATACAAGTGATATTTATAAGTTCCTTTAACAGAAATATGCCTTAGATTTTTTTAATTTATTCAATTATTCATCATTTGTTTATTTTCTTATCCTCTATCAGAAGGGTAACTGTATGCTAGCAATGTAGTATATATAGTTAATAAATATGTATTAAATTGAGATATATTAGATATAGTACTGAGAACAGAATACTTTAAAGAATTTTTTAAATGTGTGTCACCTTTTTTATTTTTATGTAAGCTACCAACTTTTCAGAAGCAGTTATAATTTCATAATTGCTTAAAAATTTTAAGCATCATCGTTATCAGGTAGAATTCTTTTCTTTCTTTTTCTTTTTTTTTTTTTTTTTTTTTTTGAGACAGAGTTTCACTCTGTTGCCTGGGCTAGTGTGCCGTGGCATCAGCCTAGCTCACAGCAACCTCAAACTCCTGGGCTCAAGCAATCCTTCTGCCTCAGCCTCCTGAGTAGCTGGGACTACAAGCGTGTGCATTGGCCAATTAATTTTCTTTCTATTTTTAGTAGAGATGGGGGTCTCACTCTTGCTCAGGCTGGTTTCCAACTCCTGACCTTGAGCAATCCATCCACCTTGGCCTCCCAGAGTGCTGGGATTATAGGCATAAGCCACTGTGTCCGGCCAGAATTGTTTTCTAATACCCAATGTTATGCCCAGGAATTGGCTTTTTTTTTTAGTATTTATGGTTCCAATTTAAGGAAGCCCTGTGATTGAGGGATCACGCAACTTTTATGAAGTAATACTTAATTTGCACTATTGTATACTCTTTCTTCTTTCTATTGTTAGTGCTTTCATTGGACCAACACTGGGTGGATTTCTTTATGAGAAAATTGGTTTTGAATGGGCAGCAGCTATACAAGGTCTGTGGGCTCTGATAAGTGTGAGTAATCAGTCTTTTATTTTCATTTCCCTCACATTTGTGGAGAAACTTGACTTGAAGAATTTACATTAACCAATACCTTTAATTGTGTTAAAGGGATTAGCCATGGGCTTATTTTATGTACTGGAGTACTCAAGGAGAAGAAGGAGGTATGGTCAACTTTTGGACTTTTTTCTCCCTTTAAAAGTCAGCCTGTATGAATGGAAAAGAAATAACATTTTATATCCATTCTTCTAGTCACTGGATTTCTGGGCACTCTGAGGCTCATCAGTTGATAGACACTTTTAAGGGGGTATTTGAATAGAGATGCAGATGCTGGGGTTTTTTTAAGATGAGAAATATTGAAATTCTTTTCTTCTTTCCCTCATTGTAGATCTAAATATCTAACCATCCTCAGCACAGAAGAGGAAAAAACTGCTCTCTTGCCTAATGAACTGTAGCTTTACAAATCCTGGATTGATATGAGGTTGGGAGGTCAATGTTCCCGGCCTTGAACATCACTGGCTTTGAACATCGCTGTTGGAAGGGTTTTCTTAATTTACGCACAGACCTCCCTGGGCACCACATCAGCATTTTGGACAATCCTGTGTTGGACTGCACTTACTGTTGTCCTGAAAAGCTGGCCGGCTGAACCAGCTATACTTGAAACATTAAGTGTGAGAATTGTAGTTGAAAACCAGCACAAGATTGTGTTGTTTTTTTTCCCAAGACAGAGTCTCACTCTCTTGCCTGGGCTAGAGTGCCGTGGTGTCAGCCTAGCTCACAGCAACCTCAAACTCCTAGGCTCAAGGGATCCTCCTGCCTCAGCCTCCGGGTAGCTGGGACTACAGGCACATGCCACCGTGCCTGGCTAATTTTTTCTGTTTTTAGTTGTTTGGCTAATTTTTTTCTATTTATAGGAGAGAGGGGGTCTTACTCTTGCTCAGGTTGTAGTTTGTGTTTTTAAGTGACCAAACTTGTCCTGGAAGATGTTGTTATTGACTCTCTTTAGGTCTCTTGTTTCCTCTGTTTACTTTTTATTCCAAGTACACTAATTCTGTGAATGTACCTTTTTTTTGTTATTAACAGGGAAAGAGATGAATTGATTTGATATGATCTAAATATATAAAAAATAACTCAAAATATATAGAATAATTACTATAAAATCAGTTTTTAAAAGATAGACTTTGTATCATGAGATTTTTGTTCTTGTTCAAAAAGGCAAAATTCCTGCCTTTTGTGTAAAAACTCTATAGCATCGTTGGTCTTAAGCTTTTCTAAAAATTTTGTGTGAAAAGTACAGGAATAACAATATTTACGATTTCTATTTTTGTAACCTACTTTCAATTATAATCTGAATTTATAAACATTACTTGATATATAACACTATTCATTTCCCTTGTATTTCATTTCCCTGTTTTTCAGTTCTGCCATCTGTTTTGGTTTTGTTTTCTCCCCCCATATTCTTGGTGGGTGTATTCCATCAGCAGGTCACTCCCTATCTCCCCGTGAAAGGCTTTTTCCAACTTCATTTGAAATCCATGCTGTTGTTTGATATGAGCAAATGCCTATTCTGCAGCCTCTCATGCCTCCTGATCTATTTTCATGGTGTAGTAGCCACATTTACAGTAATTTTCTTTTAAAAGAAGGAATGATTTTATCTATCCATTCATTCAAAAATATCTATTGAATGCCTGGGCTGACACTGTGCTAGATGCTAGGGATTTAGCTGTGGTCAAGATAAACACAATCTCTGCTTTTATACCAGTGGAAGGGACAAGTAATAAATATTAATAAATACAGAATCTCTAATTATCTTACAGAAGTGCTAAGAAGGAAAACATGGTGATGTGATGGGCTAGTTGGCTGAGGTCATTTAGGGGTGGGTGCCTAATTTGGGTAAGGCTTGTCCATGGATGTGGGACTTCTGAGTTGAGATCTGAAGGGTGAGAATGAGACTGCCATTCATTCATTCTGAGGGAGAACAGCCCATAGTTTGTGCAGAAGGGCTTGGCACTGTCAAAGGTGAGACAGGTGGTGGTCAGCCGGCTGGAGTCTAGTAAACCCGAGGGTGGGGTTGGGGAGGAGCCAGCTTTTATTATTATAATAAAAGGGCGATGCCAAAACCTGAGCCCCATCTCAGGCAGCCCATTCTGTCTGCATGTGGACTGTGAGACAGTAAATATGAATGGAAGGAGAACTTAGGAAGGCCTGTAAATACGAATGGAAGGAGAACTTAGGAAGCTTTGAGAGAAACAATAATGAGTTTGACCAGGGAGGTGGCGGTGGAGCTGGAGAGAAAGGGATTTATCTGGAAGTGGAACCAACAGGACTTGTCCACGTTGGGGGAGGACAGAGGAATCTAGGGTGACTCCCAGGCTTTGGCTTCAGGGCGTGGGTGGATGGCGGTGAGATGGGGACGAAGGGGGCGGTGAGATGGGGAAGAATTGAAACCAAGATGGGATGCCAGAATGAAAACAATGGAAAAGGATGACGACACCAAGGGTTGGGGAGGATCGCTTTGGAAGACTACTTGGCATTAATCGTCAAAGTTGGGTGTCCATCAGTCTCCTGGTCTCTTCATGTCCCTGTTCCCTGGAGCCCCTTCGCCCTTGGACCTCCAGAGGGTGGTCCAGCGCGTGAGGAGCACGAATGGCCTGTCAGTCCCTTTCTCAGAGTGGCACAGAGCACTGCACCCCGGAGGAGTGCAGAGCAGGGCCGGGCTGGGATCGCCCTCCACTGCTTTACCCACTCTGGGTGCCGGCTCCCCTGGGCGCCTGCCCCTCAGCCCACGGGCTGCCGAGCACACGCAGTTCCCGCCGCTGCCGCGTGGGGCCGCCATTAAAGCACGAGGGTTGCTGTGACCCGGCTCGCACCTCCCCAACCTGGCATCTGGACATCCCTCTGCATCTCCAGGCTTTACTGTTACCAGCGCAGTAGGCTGTTGAGAGTTAACGGTCAAGGCAAATATTCTAGCCTTTCTGGTGAGGGAACTTCCTTTGTTCCCATTCTCAACAAGCTGCTCTCGATACATGCCTTGGATACGTACCAGTATTTAACCAAATTTACCTCCTACTCATTTTATGATTTTGCAAGTCCAGAGATAATTGTTGATTCTCGTGCAGTTGTAAGAAATAATACACGGAGATCATGTGTACCCTTTCCCCAGTTTTCTCCAATGGTAACATCTTGCAAAAACTATAGCACAATAGCATAATCATGATATGGAACATCACCACATCCCCCAGGTTGCTATTTGTAGCCAGAGCCACCCACTTCCTTCCCACCTTCACTTCTGGCAACCACTAATCCATTCTCCATTTAATGTGGATATTTCAAGAAATGTTGTATAAATGTAATCATATAGTATGTAACCTTTGGGGATTGGCTTTTTTCATTCATAAAGCCCTTGAGATCTACCTACATTATTACATGCATCTATAGTTCCTTTCTTTATATTGCTGAGTAGTATTCCATCGTCTAGATATCTTGTTTATTCACCTGTTGAAGAACATATGGAATGTTTCCCATTTATAGTTATTACAAGCAAAAGAGCTATTAACATTCAAGAACAGGTTTTTATGGGATAAATGTCCAGGAATACAAGAGCTGGGTGGTATGTGAGTTGTATGATTAGTTTTGTTTTGTTTTTTCCTTCAAATAACCCATTTATTTTAGATAGGAAACTTGATTTTAATAATAAATATTATACATTAATGAAATATGTCATTTGTTTATTAAATTATGAAGATTTAAATATGTTACATACACTCTTTCAAACCTTGCTGGCAAAAGAGGTCAATAAATATTGACATAGACAACTCATTTTCATTAAATACAATTAATAACTGGGAATTATCTCTACTTATTTATATATAATCACATAACAAAGGAATGATCCACAGACTAGTCCCATGATAGTTATCTTTCCTTTGGTATCATTGTCACATGTCCCCATTTTATGAAATAGATCCATATGAGACTAAGGCTCAGAAACAACATATTTAAATGGAAAAAATAAAATGTTATATAAAGTATTAACAGAGGAAACTAAAGCACTAAAAAGCCTGTGTATTCAGTCTTGATTAAGAACATCTGCAACTCAAATAGTGCACTAGTTTCTTTTAGCAAATCCACAGCTCCACTTCTAATTCCAGCCTATTTATAGGTGAGTGTTGTAGGGGACAATCCAGGAAAGTATGCTGTTCAGTGACAATTTTTGACTTATAGTTTAGTACAATTTTACCATCAATAATAAAAGGAGCGACTCCAAGTGCATTTCTTATTGACAATGAGTCACAGTAGCATGACAAATACAAAAAGCAGTACATTATATCTCTTGCAAGTTTTTGTCATTGAAGGTAAAAATTAACTACCAAATAAGTTGTCACAGTATTACATTATTTCAAAAAGGACAGCCATGAAATATCAGTAGTTGAATAATACAGGTAGGTTTTTTTTTTTTTTCCGCTTTCAATTGTATTAAAACCACTATACATAAATCTTCCATTTGAACATACTACTAATACCTTTCTTCTTATACTTTCAGAACTTTTGCCTATGTTTACTTCCTCTATTGTTTTCTGTTGTACTGTCACTATTACTGGTTTTCATTTATGTCTTTTGTTTACTTATCTGATAAAGATCCGATCTGAGTCACTTGTTTGTTGGGTGCGTTCCTGGGTGTTGATGAGCTGGCTGGGTCCGGTCTCTAGATTTGGAACATGATTTAGTGAGGAAGACCCAGATGTGAATTAAGAAGTGAGAGATCATTTCATGTAGGAAGGAAGCTACAGCATTGGGGCCTAGGCTTGCTACTGCATCTTCTAAAAGAAAAAATATTGTTGAGGTAAAGCAGCATTGTTAATTGGAAAGAACAGCATGGCAAAGGAAGAGCTGCCCATGGTTCTTCCTTCCTATAGACGTCAGATTTTAGTCTGAAATGTCAGTTCTTAGTGCGCTCATGGCAGAAGAATGACCAGATACACCAAAGTAAGTAAGACAAGCATGAAAATGAGGTTTATTGAGGAGAAAAAGGTAGGATTATAGGGCAAGAGCAAGATACAGGTTTACAGAGTGTGATATATACGCCATAAATGACAACTGGACCCACTGTAACAGCAAAGGAGAGCAAAAGGAAGGGCCCCCCAAAAAGGGACTGATTATGGTCTGCATCTTGTTGTTTTTTTTTTCCTTTTCCTCTTTTTTTTTTTTTATTTCAGCATATTATGAGGGTACAAATTTAAAGGTTTCAAATAATGCCCTTGCCTTCCCCCACAAGTCTGAGCTTCAAGGGTGACCATCCCCCAGACGGTGCCCATCTCACTCATGTATTTATATACCTGCCCCACCCCACCTGCCCAATACCCCATTAATGTGGTTCCTATGTGTCCACTTAGGTGCTGCTCAGTTAATACCAGTTTGCTGGTAAGTATATGTGGTGCTTGTTTTTGCATTCTTGGGATACTTCGCTTAGTAGTATGGGTTCCAGCTCTATCCAGGAAAATACAAGATGTGCTATATCACCATTGTTTCCTAGAGCTGAATAGTACTCCATGGTATACATATACCACATTTTATTAATCCACTCATGAATTGATGGGCACTTGAGTTGTTTCCACAGCTTTGCAATTGTGAATTGCGCTGCTATAAACATTCGAGTGCAGGTGTCTTTTTCATAGAGTGTCATTTGATCTTTTGGGTAGATGCCCAATAATGGGATTGCTGGATAAAATGGTAGATCCAGTAATGGAGATCAAATGGTAGATCCAGAAATCTGCCTCA